ATTTGATGAGATTCAATGAACACACCAAAAAGAACCAAAAAGCAAACAAACCAAAAGTAAAAACCTCTTCAAAATTATGATTTGATATTAAACACCTTATATTAAGTGATACAAGATATTAAAAGAAAAAGACTCCAGAGTGTTGTTTTGCCCATTCACATATGTGCAACACCAAGGAAAGGCTTCAGACTAGTTTCTCAGGATTTCTATGTCCACTGGCAGAGGATGCAAAAAAATCCTCAAATGGAAAGAGAGAAAGTAGCAGGAATATAATCAGATCTTAGGTTTGGCCCTCTTTAATACCTGTCATTTCTCTTTATTAGCACAGCTAATTCACTGCTGTGCTTTGGAACATCCTCTGACTGAGTTAGCGGTGTAGTGTTAAGTACCCTTCAGGATAAAAACTATGTAACTGACAACTGACTGGGTTGCTATGTGATGTTTAGTTAAGACTCCTCAACCCAGGGCAAATTTGATGCTGACATGATTGTTATCAAATGTTCTTATCTTAAGGAAAAGGCAAGGTGGTGTAAAGGCTTCTGTCCTAGATTGACCTTTTTTGTTGGTTTTTCCCTGAGTAAAATTTTAAAAATTAGTGTGGTGATTTTAAACTGTTAGGAACTGGGAAATCTTTATGCATTGCTTTTGTTTATAAAAATCACTACTCAGTCAGGAAAAGGCCTAAATCACAAGTATCTGAAGTGACATCACTTTTGCTGAGGGATCCATGCTAGACTTTGTCAAAGTCCAGGGGTTTATAGATCATTATTAGGAAACCACTTATTAGATAATAACCTGGGTCCATAGGAATGAACAAATATTACTCTATATTTAAAGATAATTATGCCAAAAAACTCAGGCATCCATTCTGTAAATAGTCAAAGGGCCAACAAGCATTGTGATAATTTTACAGAAACAGAAAAGCAAAAATTACAAATGAATGACCTTCGTTTTAGTATAAGACAAGAGATACCCTTACCAATGAGGCTATATTCCACTCTTGAAACAATCATTTATACTCATAGGTAAAGGAAAATTCATAGCTTTCAGGATGTGTTATGTCTGTATGTATAGATATAAAATGATAGGATAACTTTTTAAATGCTAAGTAAAACAATTGTTTATTGTAAAATTGGTGACATTGAAAAACCAGCTGGTGCTGACAAAAAGCTAAGACTCTATGATCTAACAATGTTGTTTGCCTACCACCTTCAACCGAAAGAATGAAGCCATTTAGAATTTATCCCAATGGTTATCATGACATCTACAATAGTAAATCCTCAGGTCCTTAGTACTTCCTCAAGTAGAGGAAGGGTAGAAGAATAAGGAGAAAATAAGTAATTATAATTTTAATGGCTTTCTCTTGAAGGGTAATGAGTGACTTTTTTATATTAGGCGATCCCATGATCTCATGTTTTAAAAATAATATCCAGGGGAGAAGAGATTTTTGTCTCAAGCTCTAATTCCTAAGGAGGTCCTGGTAGGAGAGAAATTTCCACTTGACTTGTTTGATCCATCACATTGGAATTCTTGTTAAAGCATTTCAGTATCTAAGATTCCCCTATTTTAGTAGTTCCATAATGATGTATGTATAACATTGTAAACACAACCTAAGCATTACAAGAAAAGCTGTGCATGACTGTCTTGGATTCACAATTTACATTTCAGGCAAGGAGAGGCTATTTTTTGATAATGCCATTTGTTTCTTTCTTAGAAATATTATATAAAACCATCTCTCCTCATGGTTTAACAATATATTTCTGCCCAGAGAGCACTGCAGATTAATCTTAATCTAATGTCCTTGGCTCCCAAAAATATGACTCATGAGATAAATTTAGCCATTTAAAATATTTTAAATTACAGCTTAATTTAGAGTTTTGGTCAATGAAATATGAACATCTAAGATGATGGCATGAAATAATTCATCAGTTTCAATTAGCTTTATGAAAAAAACAAGCAGTGCTAATTTTCTTATGTGTATATTTTTACATGGGAAATCTTTATACGTGTTAGCATTTAGGTCAAGTCTATTTACTCCAAAATGAAAACAAAAATACAAATTCCATAAAAATTTCTTAAACACAAGAACAAGAAAATTCAAATATAAAAGAGCACAAAGAAACAATACTTAAGAGATAATACACAAGATGATTCAGAGATGCTCTGTGCTGTCTCAGGAGTATTGTAAATTTTATTTCTTTTTCACAATTTATTAAAGGCCAGAGCCAGGGAAGGGGAGAGAGCCAGACGGAGACAGAGAGATGACTCATGGGAAATTCGACAACGTGCATTTTACTTAACGTAAGCTGCAAAAGTCCAAGGGAGAATAGGCAAATAAACACCTGAAATAAAAACAAGTTGTTTCTGGCTTAGATAACCCAGTAGTGACAAACTGGCATTGAAACTTCCTAAAATCAAGAGAAAACAAAAGCAAACACAGTTTGTCTAACAAAACAAACACATTTCATCTTAAGGAGATAACCTTTTATTGTACTAAGAAAAGAAATATCTTCTTTTAGAAATCTATATTGTCAGCCAAACTTTCTCCATGCTAACATCTAGGTAACTGCCATCTGTATTCTCTTGATCACTATGGAATTTACATGAGATATCAACCCCCAGAAGATTGCCCTGTAGCCTGACTCCATGGCAATGTGCGTGGCCTGGGGATAGAGACAATCCAACTCTACATAGAAGTTCAAGTAGGTTACTCAAAGATTAGTGAATTTCTCTGTATGCAAGTAAACTGTTTTGACCAGGTCAATTAAGAAGTCAGTCAGTTTCTTTTGAGGGAGAGGGAATAGAGCTCCTCAGCCTAAGAGTGAAGGGGCTGTTTTACCATGAGCTAAGAGGGCAGGAACCAAGTCACTGTCATTTCATTACATATAACACTTTTGTGTCCATATATATTAAAAGATACTTATAACTTCTATTTTTGAAAACAAACTAAGATCAATAGGCAAACCTAAGCAAGGAAGCAGTTCAAGCAAGTAAATAAAAGATGTATACTGTCAGATGAGACTTCAAAGTGGTCCTTGAGATATTAGGGACAAAGAAATATCAAGGAAAGATAAATGTACCCCAAGATCCAGGCAAGGTTAAGCTCAAATTTGGCTCTGATCCCACTGAGAATGAGCCTATTGGCACAAACCCTGAGACACACCTGATTCAAGAATAAAAAGAGGTACATCTTGCCAAAAAGGAACATTAAGAAAGTTGTTTTTAAGAAGCACAAGGGGAAAGACTCTTCAATTACCAGTTCTGTTTTTAATAGCATAATTCATGTCCCTGTGGGCTTGTTATGGGGCCTTCCAAAAATACATCTTTGCAAATTTTATTTCCCAAAGCACTATATAATAAAATGCTATCATTTGAGGAAAGAAGAGAAAGTGATCCAATAGTAAACATATAATAGAGCATACCAAGTATTAAAAACATCAAATTTCAATATAATTCACAAAACTGTATTTTTCTTTTGCAAGCAAACGGTGTTAAATTATGCCCTCAAATTATATTATCCTCAGTTGAGACTTGATATGGTCATCTTATTACTACTGATGACCTTGAGATTGGCCCTGGATTTTCACAGCTAGCTTCCTTATCCCAGTTCAATACTACCAAGTGAGAAGAATGTTCCCACCCTATCTATGCCGTGTGCACTCTGCAATGGCCACCACTCAAAGGCTTTCACATGGCCAGCCTGTGCTCTCTCCTGCCAACCTGTGGGTGGACACGGTAGAGTTGTTGAGCAGGGGTGCCTAATTTTAGAAACCAAGGAGCTAAAAGTATTGGTTCACATCCTTATGCAGGCAGAAACCAAACAAACACCAAGGTAACTCTCTTTGCTATAACCACACTATAAACAGCAAATAAGGAATGAAGAGAAACCCAGGTCATGAAATGGTGCATCATCAATTTGAAGCCACCTCTGGCATGAATATTTAAAAGTTTACCCCACATGATCATCATAAATTGCTAGCCTCCCATTTCCCATATAGTATCTAAAACAAATGGAGCAAACAGTCCTGGCTAAATCATAGTGTGTGAGAGGCAAAGAATGTGCCTGAGCTTGTTAGGCGTCCTGGAAGAACAGTGGCATGTCACCATCGATGGCATGCCGTTCTCAAATGTTCCACAGGACCTGGCCTCCTGTCCCTGCCTCATGCCATGCCACTTTCTTCCTCTGCTCTGTGCACACCTGGTCCAGTGACATGGCTGAAATCCTTCAAATAAACCATTTCCTATTCCTGGAATGCTCCCCCCTCACCCCCCACACAGCTTAAAAGTCAATTTTCCAGTGATTATTTCCCTGAGTAGATCCAATCCCTTTCCCCCTGTCTCCAAAACAAGTCAGAAGCTTTACATCTTCTTCCTATACTTGTCACAAATGTAACTAACAATTATTTGTTAGTTATTTTTTAAATGTAGGTCCTTCCCCTGTAAGTTCCATGGATGCAGGACAGGGACAGTTTCTGTCTTCTTTTGCTGTTCCCAGTACCAAGGCCAGTGCCTGGCACTGCACGAATATTTGTAAAGGAATAAATAATAAATATCATAATATAATTAATATAACACAATGTAATTCTTCAACCCTTCAACACATTTCAAAATAGTTATTATGGTCCACATCTTACAGATGAGAAAAGTAAGTGTCAGAGAATTTCACTCAAGTTCACACAGCTGGTAGAAAATGGAAGAACCCAGACCTAAGGAACTTCCTGATGCTAAAACCAAAGTTTTAAGATCAAATCAGTTTATCACATCAGTGCGTGGCCCTCAAAGAGCAATCTAGCAGCTCCCTGTCTTCAAGGGAACTTGATGATGAGAAAAATTAAGGCTAGAACTGTTCATGTTCTCTCCCGACACAAACTGACTTATTTATACTGATTTCCTGCAGCTGGGAAAATGAGTTGCTTACAATGACCATGGCACATGGAAAGAATTGTTCAAGTGCCTTCTTGAGCATAAATAAAACAGATGTGAAGTAAAAAGACACTTACCATAATTCCAGTAAGCAAACAGACTCCTTTCCCACAGTATGTGTTAGGTACCATGTCACCATAACCAATGGAGAGAAAAGTTATTGATATCAACCACATTGCTCCGAGGAAGTTGCTAGTAACATCCTGTTGATCATGGTACCTGAAAAATAGCAAACAAAGGCAGTCCTTTATAATTAATCTACAGCATGACAGCTAAGAAGAGTCTGATTCAATGCGGTGAATTCACTGTATCTTCTATAAACTTCTCTACTTGGAAGTTTTCAAAGACGGTGATTATAAATAAAATTAAGATTCCACCTAAGCAATCTGAAAGACAACAGGTAGTACCTCAACTTTAAAGATAATCTGAAAGAGACACTGTAAAATATGAAAACTGATTTTTCTCCAGGGTGAGATGATACACGCACATTTATCTCTGTAGATGCCTCTGGCCCCTGCCCTGCCTTGTCATTCCTTGATGCCTAATTGATACACCAGGCTTATGAGACAATATGCAGGTGCCCAGTCTCATTCCACACCTTTGTAGCAAAGGGAACAGCAAAGGAAAGGTCCTTTGCTACCTTTATTTACCTAATATGTGTTAACTCATCATCCTCAAAATAAATTCAGGTGGGAACCTCTTCTGTCTGCTCTTCTCTGCCTTTCCCCTCTACTCCCTCAGTACCTTGTGTGTCTATCACAGGACTAGATTGTGACGGTCCTTCTAACTGGAGGTCCTTCACTAGCCATCCTCCCTGAAGACAGAAACTGTGTCTCTGATCACCGAGTCCCTGCCCAGAACCAGAGCTTAATAGAAACTGCTGTCTTACCAGTTGCACACAAAGAACTTGTAGGCAAAAATACGGAGAGGGGTGAAATTTATGCTGATTATTCTTTGAGGTGTCAAGTTTTTCTGGTGAGAAAGAAAGGTGTTATATCAGAAATAGATATCCTATGATATTTTTCTTGAATTATCAGTATTAAACAGTAACCCTGTGCCCCTGGTGTGGACACTGCTATCCACCATCTATGCATACAACAGTAAAGAAGAGAGAGGCTAAGAAAAGCTGTTTCCTGCTACTTTGGATTAGGGAAAGAGAAGCTCCTGGAAAGGAGTGAGGGTGATCAATGTGTCTCCTGGAAAAAAAAGGAAAGGGTGTGTGAACAGGCAGCCAGCCCCTGCTGGGGAACATCCTGCGGGTCTCTAGTGGCAGGAGGGCAGAAACCTCCACTGTTCCATGCCCAGGAACAGCCCCATGAACAAGCTGTGGAGTCCCCTCTTCCCCGAATGTCTGGGTAGAGAGGCTGTCATTGTCAAAAGGCAGGCCAAGATGTATATTTGTAGCATTCCAAAAAGACAGGTGGGTTCACTTTCCTTGAGAATCTGTTACATAATGTGCACACAGAAGCAGGCTGGTGTTATTAGTGCTATGCTCAGCTATAACAGAAGATAAGCAGGTTTCTGTGGACAGCTCTGGGAACCTGCTATGCACATGTAATGGAGCTTAGATGGGAGAATGTGGCTTTCACTTCAAAACAGGACCCTTAGAAGTAAGCTTTACATTATAATCCACTCATGATATGGGGGGCTCCCTAGTAAGTATTCCTTACCAAGCTATATATAGGAGAGGGGAGGCAAAAGAGTTCATTTTCTATTCAATTTTTAATTGTAAGATAAAGTTTCATCTTAACAAAGCATGATTTACACACAGATCTGACACACTTAAGAGTTAATGGCTCTAGTTGCCTGATGTATATATACATCTATATCAAATTTATTGAGCACTCAGTATGTGCTTAGCCCTTGACTTGTGTTTTCTCATTTAACATGTAATGGTTTTGTTTTTTGTTTTGTTTTTAAAGATGACTGGTAAGGGGATTTTAACCCCTGACTTGGTGTTGTCAGCACCACGCTCACCCAGTGAGCCAACCGGCCATCCCTATATGGGATCCGAACCCGTGGCCTTGGTGTTATCAGCACCGCACTCTCCCGAGTGAGCCACGGGCCGGCCCCCTAACATGTAATGTTTTAATACACAGACAATCTTTGGCTGAAGCAGTTATATTCTTCACTCTCTCTGTATCAGCAAAGCATCCTTAAACACTTAGTTTCTAGACACTTAGAAAATGTGCCTGAAATGCGCAATGAAAAATATTTCCTGGAACATTTAGGCAAGCTAACTCTTCAGTTGCTTACCTTTAATAAATATTAAAGGTAATAAACAAGTTTTAAATATATAAATAAATTGCTCCCATTCTCGTGTGACTCTTAGCCAAACACTCTCAAGCATTATGGCATTACATCGTTCAGTCAATATTTATGATACGCTATGCATGTTACACTGCATCAGAGATTGTAATTCTGTAATTCTGTAAGAAGGGCCCTAATTAGAAAAAGATATCTTCCTAGAAGTTAGTATTTTAGGGCTTATAATTCAATGGTAAATTATCCTATTTGCTTATGAAATAATAGATCTGCCTGAAAACCAGCTCAGAATGGAAAAAATAACATCTTATACTAATGTTTATGTTACATTCAGACATACTTAGTTGTGAATAGTCAAGATGAGGTAATTAAGGACCAAATTAGATACTATTAGACTAATCACCTGACTTCTTTCTTGGCAACTCAAGAAACAAATATTAGACTTACGACCAGGATGACATTATCACTTCGAACACCCCCAGGCTTTGAAGCTATGCCAGATCCACACCATTGTGAATGATTAATATGCACAATTTAAGGTTAAAAAAATTTAAAAACATTTCTTATAGTACAAGTTCATTTCATAGGCTTACTCAAACAGTTCCAACCTTCTCCACTAGGAGAGTTGTTCTGATAGAGACATGAAGAAATGACTCACCTGGTAAATTTCAAGGTTTGATCAATATGAATGATGGCTTAGTCAAAAATACATTAAATAAGATTAAAATTAGGGCAAAGACGCCTGATGATCTCAAGCTTTGACAATAAAGATTTTGGGGTTTTGGCAGAGGACTACTTGAAGTGTTTTACATGGACTTAAAAGACTGAAATCAGCTTTAAGTTTTTAAAAAAGCAAAATATTCCTTTTCTTAGTTTCCATTCCTTATTCATTTCTTCATTCATTGCTGACTTTGAGTCTAGCACTGTTTCTTAGATCACAATTACAGCTTTCTGTAAAATTTGTTAAAGTTCACAGGGGTTATCTTTCTAAGAGAATCATTGAATTCCTCCTCCTGATGAGGCAGCCTCCACCCAGCACTCCCCCCACCTCTGAGCATCCTCCGCACTAATGGCTGTCCTCTTCCACAGCTCTTCTTTCTGCAGATGTATTTCCTTCTGTCTGCAAACAACTTCTCCCATCTTTCCAGCTCTGATTTGTACTTTGAGAATGTGTTTTTGGGTTCCCTCCTCCAAACTGTATATAGCTTTTGGTTAGCATGGTATTCTAGGTTGGTCCTTTCTCTGTATCCCCAAAGCATCATGTAGATATCTCCATTAGATAAATGTTAGCCTGGGTCATAGACATGTAATGTATTATCTGCTCATCTAACATACCCTTAGAATCATAATTATGAGGAATTTGAAGACAAAGACTATTTATTCCTTATTCATTGTATCATCACATAGTACTTTGAAAAATATTGCAGGTAGCAGGTGTTTACTGAATTAATTACTGTGACAATATAAAATGTGTCCTAACTTGACTTGCCCTAGGCCACATGCCAGGTTTTCAATATTAAATATGTAGAGATACAAAAAGGGGACAGCAATGATTCTTGCTCATTGTCAACGTGAATCAGATCTGTCATGTTATGTTCCAAGATCTGTGTGCAACTAAGGTATTTTACACCTGTAAAAAATAATTCAATAGTACAGGTTAACAGCTGACAACTATGTTCACTAATTCTTCATTATTAAACTTACTATTAATACTAGAAATAAAAAAATATCTCAAATGTCAGCTCTGATCTCAAATGTCAGCCTTAGTTATACAGTAAAAAGTATTACAGAGATTTAAATCCATGTGATCAATGGACCATCAGTTCTCTTCTCTTCAATCCACCTCTTTCTCCTGAAATACCACTAAAATGACAGTAAGACTGTATACACACACACACACACACACACACACACACAAATATATATGTAAAAAAATGTATAAACCCACAAGATCAAAAGAAAAGAAAAGGAGACATCAGAGAACAAGAAATAACTCTTATATTAATAAACACACATCTTGCTTTCAGCTGAGATGGAACAGCAGGGGACTGGATTTATACTTTCTCCTGAAACAACTAGAAAAACAAATAAAATATTGAAACAATGGTTAAGAAGACAAAAGAAATTTCTGCGAGATGGTAAACAACTAAGATGACCCATACAGTTGCCGCAGTTTTAATGCCTAAACAGAATCTCCAGGACACAACTCAGGGAAAGAAATCAGGCAGAGCCCAGAGGTCTCCCTGTGTTGAAGAACAGGGCTGGGAATCCAAGGAGACCTAGAACTCAGAGGACTGAAAACCAGAGAGGAGAGATCTTCACAGAGAGAGATCCTGAGATCTGCAAAGGGGTCTCCTTGATTATTCAGCTGAGTACTGATAGGTACTTGCTGATAAAACTACTGAAGGCCAGAGAAGTGCAAGTGCTATATGTAAAGAGATACAGCATCACTTGAAGATAGACTGTAGTAAATGGTATAACAGCAGATGAAGGTAAGACTGCTAACTTAACTATAGTATACCTAAGTGCATGCTATAAACCCTAAAGGAACCATGAAAATAGCACATCAAAGAATAACAACTGATGACCCAGTAAAGGATATAAGATTGAATAAGTTATAATAATAAGTAACCCAAAAGGAGGCAGAAATAAAATGAAAAAGCAACAAAGAACAGATGGGATAAATAGAAAATAGCAAGAGGACAGATTTACACAAGCATTAAATGTAAATAGCCTAGGTATCCTCAATTAAAAGGCACAGATTTTCATTAAACTCATGAAAATTTCATAACTTGGAGAAATCAGGTGTCACACAAT